GTTTTGGAAGATAGATAGAGATAGACAACACTTACCGCATCCTAAAAATGCAAACAACACCGTCATGCAATTTCACAACATTCAGCATACCTACATCCTAAATTTTATCTAAAAAATGCAAGGAATTCGAATAATTTCAGTGCGAAGCTCTTTATCTAGGTCGTGCGCATGTGCATAGTGTGAGTAGTAGGATTCAAATCTGTGCAGTGTGGTGAAAAGAAGAATTGAGTTGTGCATATTCATTCTTTCTGGACTTTTCCTAATCAATTGCATTTCAGAATTCATTAACCCATTTGACCATGAAACTACTTTTTCCGAATTTGTATATTTTTTTCTCAAAAACGACTGATAGACAGTCCCATAAGTCAAGAAACAATTATAAAAAGTTTACGATCTCCAGTTTTGGAAAAAACAGCTGTCCCTTTGAAAGGACGGTAGGATAAAGGGCTACTATTAGAAAACTAATCAAAGATTTAATAAAATATGTTTATATTATATCATATAAAATGCTCAGCAAAATACTTTTACTAATTAGTATGATAGGCCAAAAAATACGGTTTCATAGCCTCATTAAGACTGTGATTCTCTTCAATTGGGACATGATTGAAAAACCGTCACTATCGATCCAAAACTTGACGAAATCCTAAAGATAGCGATTGACCTTGTTCAAGATGTCAACAAAATATAATGTGACACTGGCGACATCTTCAAACCGTCAGGTTTCGTTTTGAAATCCTTTCAAAAGGACGGTAGGCGTATATGGGTTAATTGAAACCTACCGAAGGAAAAAGTATTCATCAATAATATCAGTATCAGTATATTATCAAATTTGGAATCATCGTGTATATCATCAATTGCACGTCATTTAATGAAGAGTGCAAATCCGATCGAAAATCCACATTTGGTATCCGTTATCCCCGGATTATTTGTACCAATTAAACGGGTTTTTCGATATGCAAGTCGTGCGAACAGTATTGCATGAAAGTGTCGGATTGAATGAGGAATTGAAATGCAAAATTGCATTCATCAGCTCGAAAGGTATATCATACAGTCGTAGTAAAAAATGACGAACTCATAAAATCTTTGAAAGGGAGAGAATCAATATTTCGACAACAATGGATACCAGCAAAATTAGAGTGAAAATTAATATTCACACTTCAACTTAAATTCTACTTCAACATCAATCGCGTCTTTCAAACCTTCGTTCGATTTCAATATTTTTGTATGAATTGTAGCTTGATTGCTCACGAATACATTTCGAATCATATACAGGATTGGAAGGTGTGAGGTGACCCACTGGCAATTGAAAACAGTTTCTTCAATAGACAGAAACGTGAGTGGCAAAAAATGCAACAGTTTTCTGAAGGCTGAAAATTCGATATTATGTATGTCAGTCAGTAAGTGTGCGTGAAATTATCTCAACACCGGTATAGAGACCGGATGATGACGGATTCATCGGGTGAAGGGGTCATACTTGGAGTCAAACGTGCTCCAGAAGTACATACTATAGAATCTCAAGAACATTGATGAACTCAGCTTCTGAGCATGGTGACGGACTTCGGTGTCTTTAGTGCTCGAGTCGAGAGACAATATCATTACATAACCTTTATATAATTCTTGGAAAACTCAATTACCTGATCTGGAAAAATGGTTACCGAAAGGAGACAGAACTCCAATAAACCAAAAGAGAAGAAGAAGAAGAAACCTCTGCGCTAATCGCTAACGAAACGTTCTGTAAACTGAACTGGCTGACTGACGGCAGGCTATTATTGCTATATACACCCTAAATACTACATAATATCGAAATATAAGCCTTCTGAAAACTGTTGCATTTTTTTGCCACTAACCTCTCAGTCGATAACACTATTACAGAAATTGATCATTCGATAACGACAAATCGTTGTCAAATTGTTTCGGCACAAACGTAATTCTGATCGTGTATTATAGATTGAATGATTTCAACACTGCTGCCGATGGTTACGTCCAACATTTTATCGAGATATCATCGCGTTCAACGTCTTGAAGTTTCGAAATTCGAACAGCTCATACGTTGAATGTATTTGACTGTACTATATTACAGAATTTTGATTTTTAAAAATCGGTCGCTGTACGGTAAGCGAGTTCAACTTAGCAACCAGCAAACATAACATTACCATCATAGAAATAGATATGGTGAACGAAAAATAATGTAAAAATTTACACAAAGATTGACCTGATCCTGATCCTGATCCTTTTGCTCGATTTCAATATATTTTTTTACGGTAGCTTTATTCTCACGTATACATCTAGTGAACCAGTGATATTCAAAACCAGTTTTCACACTAAATTCACTCACAATTCTTGATACTCGATTATACTATTACGTTGTTTATAACGTTTTATAGTTCATGAAATTAGAGCGGAAGCAAATTTCGGTAGTCAATTGGAATTCTTTGCCTGATCCATATAAGATAATGATCGAATAAAATGCTAGTAACTTTAACGAAATTAATGAAGCCGATCAGATGATCAAAAAAGTTATTTAACACTGAATACAATAATTATTTATTCAAGAAAATGATTATGTAAGAGAACAGAAAGAGACGTCACTTTTTACTACATCTGTACACCTGAAAACCATAAAACTTTCCCAAGGAGATAAATGGCCGCGAAACTAGTTCCAACGAAACAGACGGGACACTTATTTACATCTTCAAGAGCCATTAACCCAATGAGCAATGAGGTAGATATACGGTATAAATCGCAACGCAAATGGACTATATGATACCAAAGGAGATGCATTTTGAACGCCATTTCGCATTGCATGGTATTAGGGGACGATAACCTAGATTTGAAGGCATCTGGATCCTGACACATTGCAGAAAGGACAAAACGCTAAATTCTTGGTCCTTCGGGCATATCGTCAAAAGTGGTTATTACGCCAAAACAGCTTACCCTGCCAACCTTCTGTAGCTTTTAGTGGTTTCTGATTTGAGATAGAATTGAGAAATTCAGAAAAATAAATATTTGTTCTCTTTTGAAGAAGTTGAAGAAAGTTGAATTTTCAAACCAGATTTACGAAGACTGATCATCAACTTATGTGAGAAACTCTTGTTTTGGAAATTATGATGGTCTGATGGGACACATTCGGTATTATCCTCAAGGGAATCTATTCATGGTAGGAGTATGTACAGTTCCTCATGACAAACCCTGTATATAGATAGAAAGTTCTAAAAGGAGTGAACACTCTCAATGACTTGAAACATTCTCATGCTTCACAGAAAATTGCACTAATTAATATTATTGTTTTTTCAATTCCCATGCAAATAGTACTTGATAGATGATCATCTACTATGCAATTTTTGAATCTTTGTAGAAGTTGTTTCCTATTCCTATATCGAAGGTTGATAATGAACTCATGTGAGTTCGAAACATGTTCTTAACCTTAATAATTCCCTGAATATTGAGTTTTCTTTAATTTTACTATGATACCTACTTCACTTAGACGCCATGGATTTCTACAAGAGATGACATTTCAGGTATCTTCATGTTGCACAATATTATGTGGAAATAATATTTCGCGAACAATTTTCGATTTTCTGCAATCTGCAGACTAGGTACGCGAGATTTCGCCCAGTCCATATATCGAGAAACTGTTGAAATCCCTTATTATTGTCAAAATCGCAGTTCAAATAGTTTTCGACATAAAGACTGGCCAAATTCCCCTATACAAATAATCAGAATGCTGACGATAATCAAACTAAACATAATTGCATGAAAACGTGATAGATATTTTCTAAAAGTATGGTGCAATTTTAGGAAAAGTGCACTGTGCTGATGCAGAATGCAGCAATGTGAACATTTTTTAGTGAAAAAATTAGTGCGCTATCTATGTCTTACTATCAAACTGTTAACAATAAGTAGTGCTAGATATCTATATATCAATAAATGGGCAGTGGCTGATGTTAATTTTGAATGTTTACGAACAGATGCTCAGTTTTCAATGATTTTTGTTTGAAAGAGTTTAGGTACTTCATAGTCCAGGCATACAACAACCACTGCCAAATTTAGATTATTCAATGAATTCAGGCTTTTGACAGGCGATATAACTATACTAGTCTTTTCCCTGTAAAGAGTCTGAAACATCATACTTCCTACGACAATTCAATGACGTATATGAAACTGTCATCGTGTCATCTCCATGCCATACCAATTGACAAGATGTTCTATTTAGATAGACCAGCGAATCTTCAAACATCGAGGTCAAGTGACGTCACCCACAACACATAATATTTCTTCCTTCTTTATTGAGAAACTAGGACTACTACGAGTAAAGCGATAGCTACATGGCTTGTGTATCTGACTTACAAAGTAGTGACTGGGGTTCAAGCCCTGCGAGGCGTAAATTTTTTTCAACTTTTTTGACTCAATTAGTTTTCCAAAAATATAATTTAGGGCAAGTTAGGTTGAAAGTACTTTCCTTTTTCATGCAGAAGAGATATTTTCATTCCTCATATAAAGAAGGAAGAAATATAAAGTGTTGGGGGTTACGTCACTTGAGCTCAATGTTTGAGGATACGATGGTCTAGCTAGACGGTTGTCAGTGCACTATTAAGACAAACCATTCTGATTGGTTCTTATATCGCAGGAAATGAGTTTCATATACGTCGTGGAATTGTCAATGATAATAATAATTCTTTCGGAAATCAATGAGATCCCATTGATTGGTGACACTACGAGTTACCCTAAAGCAATTTGATGTAGTTCAAGATTTGTGACAGAACGTTCTATAGTATTGCTTCTTTTGCTTCGTGAAATAGTCTAGCAAAAATTGCACGCTGTTCTGAATATCTTCTCATAATTCTCTCAGTCTGTCACTCATTGTTAACACATTTTCGTGAACAATAAAGCGACAAAAATATTTGGAACATTCAGAACATCGTGATATCACCCCTGACAATACCAACACCCCATAACCCCAACAACCCCCCTCTCCAAAATAAAAAGAAAAGAACACTCACCTTCCGCGCGTTGCTCGCCTTCAGGTCGGTCTGCAGCGCCATGTTGCTGAACGGCACCTCCATGGAGTACTTGATCGAGTGCAGCAGCTGCACCACCACGTTGGACACGTTCTTGAAGCTGAGCTTCCGGCGCTGGGCGGCCCCGAGGGCGGACCGGACCTGCAGCGTGTTGAACAACAGTGGCTGGAAGAGAGACGCCGGGGCGGGCCGGGGGAGGGCGGAGGTTAGTCACTAGGGGTTAGATCGGGCGCGCGAGCAGGCCGAAGCATGTAGGGGGGTGGGGGGAGGAGATAGAGCGAGCGGGCAGAGCTGGGCAATGCTCGTTTTCGACGAATGCCTTGCCAGTATTTGAATAGTGTGTTGTATTCTAATGCAGTGTATTTGAATGCTTTCTGGTACAAGTAATTATATTTATAAATGAAGCTGTCCACCTGAATACTGCACCCAATTTTGAAATCAAATATTATAGAAAACACTACTCCGGTTCCGAAACGGTTGGTTGCATGTTGCGCAATAATCTTTCGAGAATGAGGTGGATGAGAAACATAGATACATTACAAAAATGAATATTTTCAAAGTTATCCCGATCATATGGAAACTCTTTCGAATTGTTTCCTTGGGCATAATATTATAATTACCAGGTGATCTGTTCATAAAGTAACAGAATAAGAGGAATAGAAGGGAATATAACTCCAATAATTCAATATTGGACAATAGTTATTTATTATACAAGGGAAAAAAGTAGTAGATTTTAGCTCCAGGTGAGCTAAAATCTAATATTTTTCCCGTGTATAATACACTATTTTTTTCTGTGACAGAAGGAAGGACGAATCAATATTGAGAAGATATTACATTATTTCGAAATCTGAAAATTTTCGACGTGAAATTTCAAGTTTTTAACAGTAGGGACACCTGCGTTTTATAGGCATCTTCATCATTCTTTTGAAGTAATCAAATATCTGATGTCACTTCTGTCAGTTCAATTCTGTGATTTGATTTTAAAAAATTGCGAATTCAGTAGTTGTTTAGTAATATACGAAACCGCGAAGTCGAATGGAAGATAAAAGGACTTGCAGTTCTTTCTCGGAGACGGTATTATTGACTCATTTTTCGGAACTATAGCACAACAAAAGCCATTAACAGAGTATATATATGTGATATATATCCGGGAAAGAAGTACTCACTTTTTTCCCACGGGAAAAAAGTAATTTATGAAAAGTGACATTTTATAACCTGCCAACAGAGATGAAATGCCAAACTTTTTTCCCGTCACAGAAAAAAATATTTCAATATTTCATCAGGAGATAGCAATTCATATTAGAAGTGATGTAAATTCATTCTACGTCAATATAGAGTATTCAAAGTGTAAATCACAATATGCACGACTGAATTTTATGATTCTTTGGAATCTCGAATCAATCTGTGGATCGATATTTGCTCAATATTTGAGAAATTGAAGTAATGACATCCCCCCTATATCAATTATATGAATAAACTCTCTTATTTTATGAACAGATCAGCTGAAACTAAGGACAAGTTTCCATAAAAAAGATGTTACGCGTTAATGAAGTCTGTTAGCGAACAAATCTCGAAATTTATTTGGCGAATCACACCAATCATGATATCCCCAGAACAAAATCCGAGAATTCGATATTCATGTTTGTAATGGATCTATGTTTCTCCTTGTAGATTTGAAAAGACAGAGTACGAGAACCATCTCAGTATCGAACCATTATCACAAAACATTGAACAAACGGTTCTAGAATCGGACTAGTATTTTTCATAATATGTATTTGATTACACAATTGGGTGAAATATTCTTCGGTCAGGTAGTTTATTTGTGCAAAAATCGAAGTCAGATGAGGATCAAAAGTTTGTAACCGCTATGAAAGTAGTTAGGCAGTACCTGGCTTCAATTCAAGCACTTCCGTTATTTCAATATCTAGTTTTTTTTTTTATGTTCTGGTTCTCACGAAAAGGGATATCCTGTAATGTTCACGGACTTTTCTACTTTGGAGAATTTCGACTTTTTCGTATTTGATTTACAACTTAATAAGTAAAAGAACATACCCACGGAGTATTTAAATACTTCTGAAATACTCTAATTCTTAACAGAAGTTACGAAAGTATGAGAATCTTCTAAATATACCTTATAAAATGCTTCCTGACCTTTGGAATTATTCAATATTCAAATCTTTTCAAATCAGTTGAGTATTTTATTCTCAATACGAGTATTTGCCGAGCTCTACGCGAGGGGTGTGCAAAAAGGGTAGGCGATAGAGTGTTCGGAGGTGGGGGAAGGTTAACGTGGGTGACATTTGAGCTATTTTGAATAGAGTAAACCCCAAGAAGGAATAGTTTGTTTGCTAGGAATAGACTGAATGTTAATAATCTAACAATGTATTCACTAAGAAAATGCTAATCAGTTGGGTTCTCACCAAATCCTCTTTTGAAAAAGAAGAAGAAAATCTTGTGCGCAGCTCAAAGTATGTTTCATCACCCACCAAATTGGGGAAATCATGCAAAAGGGCGGTTTTCATAACTTCGAGTGACGAAACTACCCTGATTCTTCAACAGAATATGTGCATTTTTTGCTCATTTTTCAGAAGTGTTGTTGTTGTAATTGGTGGTGAGAACCTCTCAAGGATTTTATTCACTATTAAGAAATATGTTACGTTTCAAAAAAGTATTAACAATTTTTAAGAGTGTACATAGCACTCGTCAAAACTGAGAAATGGAAACTCTTAGTATTGAAGTATCGTACATTGAAATATTCATAAATAAAATTGAAAATTTTGTATAAATGTGATTTTTCAAACATCCGACTAGAAATTAATAACAATGAACATTATTCACACAAACTTCTCTTGTGTTCATTTTATAGGAACCGTGTTTCTGAGCAGAATTTCACAAATGAATATGAAAGTAAATTGAGATGTTCTTCAAGATTCAAATTTCTATTCAATGCTCTTTATTTCAAAAGTTAAGCGGTTTCCTCATTTCGACAATTATTTTTGAGAAGCACTGTATCCATTAATTTTAGAATTCAAGATATTTCTCACAAATAATTCACAAATTAGTTAGAAATTCAATGTAGCTCTCAGGCTTTTCTGGATTCGAAACCAATAAATGAAGTTGAACGAAAAAATAATAACATTTATAAAACTGAAAGCCAACAATTAATGGTTGTGGATTTAATTGAATTGCATTCCTTAAACGAATGAAACTTCGAGATAAAACCATTGCTTCTAGGAATGAACTTTGTTTTAATAAATTACCGAGTTAGGGAGATAATTTGTATGTTTTGTGAAAAACGGATATTCAGGATATTCTGAACATTCTACCATTATTTGAGGTTGTAATAAGGTCACAGTTTCATGAAAATTTCCTATTGAACGTATTTACGTCCATTTTAGATCGCCAGACGAGTATATTTTCTGAAATTCGTTGTCATCATTTGGCAGTAATAAATGCACATTGAGCAATAGTTGTTCCTATATCAATGACTACATTTTACACGTCACGAAATTCTGTTTTTGATTCAATCGAATAGTATTGTACAAGTTATAATGATATCAGAACGTTTTTCTACGACTACTATTGTAAGTGATGAATATTGTATGTACATTGTGCGATTGGAATAAATATTAGTCCGGGTGCATAAACCGAATTTTTGAGGGATTATTCACAGAAGTCGTTACGATTTATTTGGGCCGCACTGTACATAAAACAATGTCAGTAAGCTTTTCCTAAAGCGAGCGATCGCACGGTTTTCATAGAGCACCGAAAGCAAGCAATTAATATTTTTTGAAAATTGAAATTTTCTGTTGATATTTCTCAATTTCATTTGAAAAATGTTAAGCGATGAAGATAAGATTATTTATAAACCACCAGAAATCCTGGGAAGATAAAAAATGGCGACAAATGAGTTGAAGTCTCTCGAAAGATACGAAATCGTTTACAAAAAATCGCTCAGGAATAATATCATGTCATTTTCAGAAAATATTCTGTTACTTTCAACAACTGCACAGTGACAATAAATAACCATTATAATAATTATATGTTCATCGAATGTGTTTTTTGTTATAAATAAAGTTGTTGAGATATGAAAAACGGCTTCATTTTAGTTCAAATTGGGGAAAATAGTTCGTTATGCAATTTACCAATGAACAAATACATTATAGTGTAGTCGTAGAAAAAGTATAGTACATTACTCGAATTGTTAAGCCATAACGCACTTCTTCTATTGTCTTTTCAACTCCTGACCAAACTGGAGATGACGCAAGTCAAATTAACTTTACAAAACCTGATTCATGAGCACATCCAAGAAATCTTTCTCATTAATCCAATTATGTTCCTTGAAAAGTTTCGCCGAATTCAACCAAGTTTCGCTAATGTAAGATATAAAATGTTTCCACTTTTTCAATTCTGGTTGTGATATCCTTTGTGTTAATTGATGACTAAAAGAATGCACGAACTTTATGAATGGTCCGATTTATTTGGCAAATAAAGAAAAACGTGTGCAAAACCTATGAATCATCATGTATTACACTATTACAACTTATTCATTACTAAAATTAGACTCGCTCCCGTATATATTTTAACGACAAGCTAATACACATCGAATCGATCTGTCACATACATATATATGTCACATATCGCAGTTATATTCATTTGTTATTCGTCCACAAATCATATCATTAGTTTCACAGCTCGCTGCTGGAGACAGATGAATTTATGGACATGAACAGTTATTAGTTATAGCCGGTAGACGTGATTTTGACGTTCAAAATAACATTTCATTTTTATACGATTTTCATAGGCGTCTAGAATTCATAAACTCAATTGGAGAACGACTGTCGTAAAATATCCTCATTGGTCGCAATAGATCATCCATACTTTGAGGTCATGAGTGATTTTATGAAGGAAGAGTTTAGTACTAGAGTCTAGCCATAGCACCATAGCGAGATAATATTGCGCCTCGCTCGCTGCTCGTTGGGCGCGAGAATCTGAAAATTTCCGGCCGATCCTGAGAAGAAACATTATTGAAATAGCGAATCACTATCGGTCTGATCAATAAATGCCACCATTGAATTTTTTCCATTAATTACTTAAAGAAAATAAAAAAAAGATTAGCTGTAGTAGGGATCGAACCCCGGTCTTTTCGGTCGGAGGAAGGAACA